AAATTAGCTTTGTATAAAGGCGAACAAATTTATTCTTTGGTGTGAAAGTTAAAAACAGTACCGCATTCCTGTGGGGGCGGTGATCCCCTGGGGCAGGTTGCCCCGAGAAGCTGTGGCTGCCCCATCCCTGGAGGTGTTCAAGGCCAGGTTGGACGGGGCTTGGAGCAACCTGGGCTGGGGGGAGGTGGCCCTGCCCAGGGCAGGGGGTGGCACTGGGGGGGGGCTTTAAGGTCCCTTCCAACCCAAACCCCTTCTATGATTATAGCATTACTTTTAAAGATCAGCAGATAAAAATGTTCTATTTATTGTGTTGCAGGGATGATACAAAGATGCAGAAAAGATACTAATTGTTCGTTAGTTGTGTCGTATGAGTATTTGGAACTGCTGAGAGAGGTTGATGTCAGGTGGGTGCTTGTTGCTTGAAGGGGTGGTTGATGGCCTCCAGCAGTCCACAGACCTGATGTGGGCACCTGGGCTCACCAGGGCCAAGCGGGTTCCTTCCCCTGGCAGTGCTGATGTTCTGTTTGGTCTTGGCTTCAGTGTGGGGAATGTGTAAACCTGAGATGTCGTTCTCATCCATGCAGGCACCTAATCGCTAGGCTTCGCGTGGTTTCTGCCCACTTTACATGGTACATATTTAATTGCATCATGTAAAGTGAAACTTTGATTCAGGGAACTGAGAGCCTTTATTTTTGGTTGACTTGCTCCAAACCTGATTGGAGAAGTCATGTATGGAAGGGGTACAAATTCCAGGCTCTGCAAAAATGAAAGTTAATTTTGCAGTAACAAAATTCCAACAGTATTCTGTCACTGTTGAGCTGTTTAATTAAAAAGGAGATACTAGTGTCATGTCCTCCTCCTTGGACAGGACAGAGAGAGAGTGTGTGTGTGTGTGCGCGTGCCTGCATGCACATGTGCACATTGGTTAGTGAAACTAATAAATGAGTTTTTTAAATTATTCCCTTTGCAATGGAAGTGCTCATCTTAGAGCAATTCAGAGTTATAAGATGACTTTTTTTTTTTTTTTTTTTTGCTAATGAAAATATTGTGGAGTTGCTAGAAGGGGAAAAAAACCTACACAAACCTACAGCAGAAAAAAAACCCTTAGCTTTTGAAAACTTCCTTATACAAATTTTTAGATAAATTGCTGGTCCTGTAGTCTTAAATTTCTAAAACCTTATTGTCCAATGAGGAAATTTAGACTAGAGTGAAAGTCAAAGATTTTTAAGAGGTTATAGCAGTTATCAGTGTTGTACCTGTTTGCTAGATGCTTTTTGCAGGCACATGCCTGTGCTACACTAAACAGAACACAGTGCAGAGTCTTACTTCTGTGTGTGGGGCAATAATGTAGTGCAGACTGGAGCTGTGTAGATTAGAAATGCTGATGGCATCAGCTGCTTCCCTGGAAAACTCACTGCTCTTCAGGAATTGCTGCTTCAGCAGCTCACCAAAAGGCAGCTTTTTTTTTTTTTTTTTTTTAATTATTATTTTGATCCTTTGTTCAGGCATTGTGCAGGTGGGGGCAAACAAATGGGTGGAATGAATTTGTAGCTGCCACACCTGCACCAGTGAGGTGGTAACAGCTCCTAAGCTAAGAGTGAGGTTGTCACCACTCCTGAGAAGGTTCCCAGACCCCTGTTGTGGTCAGCAGGAGAGGACAGCTCTCAGGCTCCCCCTGCCCCAACGGGTAAGCACTAGTACAAGCAAGCATCTTTCTTCCTTTGTATACACCCCCCCAGATAAGTTATGTGTTATAAATAATTGCAATACAGAGTCTTCCAGAACTTATTGTAACTGTTTAATAAAAAGTAATGCAGCCATCTTTAGCACAGGCCCTGGATCCAACATTTCCACTTCCCCGGTGCTCTACAGCAGGGCCTTGTTTCATCCCTCTCTCTTGATTAACTTGGCATTCTTTTCTGTGCAGTCACTTCTGTAAGTCAGGCGTGCGAAGTGTATTGGATCCCAGGGCCAGATTCTTACAGGCTCATAGAGGGCACCAAAGCTGATGAGGGGGCTGGAAGGCATGTGCTCGGAGGAGCAGCTGCAGACCCTGGGTTTGTCTGGTTTGGAAAGAAGGCAGCTGAGGGGCAGCCTTGTTCCTCTCTGCAGCTTCCCAAGGAAGGGATGTGGAGAGGGAGGTGCCGAGTGCTTCTCCCTGGGATCCAGTGATAGGATTCGTGGGAACTGCACAGAGCCGCACCAGGGGAGGTCTAGACTGGCCAGTAGGAAGCATTTCTGTACTGAGAGGGTGGTCAAGCCCTGGAACGGGCTTCCTGGGGAGGTGGTCGATGCCCCAAGCCTGCCCGTGTTTAAGAGGCGCTTGGAGAAGGCCCTTAATAATATGATTTAACACTGGGTTAGCCCTGAAGTGGTTGGACTAGATGATTGTTGTAGGTCTCTTCCAACTCCACAACAGAAAGCAAAGCTAACTGACGAACCTCCTATTCTTGACTGTTTTCCTACCTCCCTCTCCTAATACAGTCTCAGAGACACGAGAGGCTCTCGGAGGTCTGGGTTTTATACCATTGCTCCAACTTCATGGGCATGCATGTAAATTGGATCTGTGACAGATGAAGTAGGACACATGATGTGGCTTTTTAACATTTCAGTTCTGTAAAGATGAACAGCACCAGGTTACAGAACAGATTTAATTTCTTTGACAAGAATGACATTAACAACTTGCAGTTTAACAGTATTTCTTAAAGAAAAATTGAAGCTTTTTTTAGTAAGGATTTAAAAGTATTTTATTGATTGTTGTCCTGTAAAATCACAGAATTCTTTAATTCCTCAAGAAGTGTGTCCAACAATAGGAAAAATTAAAAAGTCTTTAAAAAACATTACAGCATTTTTGGAAAAACTAGGTATGAAAAATATATACAATGTATTAAAAAATCTGAATAAACTTAATGTCTGGATTTATACATTCAGTTGTGTTAAACATCTGCCTGTGTGCAATAAAACTTGTTAAAACATTAGCAGTATTTTTACTATGTTAAATAAGTCTGTTCAATTTACAGTTTCTCTCATTAATGTTTTATCAGTCCACTTAAATTAATTTACAAGGCTGTATAACCACTGTCAGACTTTCAAGGTAAGTAAGTATTACTTATTGCCTTCCTAATATATTTTAAATTGTTACAAAGATACATCTTTATAAACATCCACTTAATTCACAAACTGAATCAACATATTACAGTATATAAAACAACATCACCCCCTTTAAAAAAGACAGGGAATGCAACAAGCAGAAAACCTTTGTACTACAAGTTTTTCCCTCCTTTTTATTTAACATATATTCTACTCTGCTGAGTTAGCAGCTGGTCCTTAAAAAGGTGAAGATTTTTATAATACAAACTGTCACACCTATATACAGAAAAGATGCACTGAAATTTACTTCATTTTTGAGTGCATTTTGTTCACACAACATTAAGTGGTTGATTTTTTCTGTGAAATGCCAAAGCTAAACTGCAGATGCAAAAATGTAGCAGGTGTTGTGTGTAGTGCAATTGTGAGAAGTCTTCTCTGAAGCAGAGAAGCGTGTGTGAAGCAGCACCAATGTGAGCTCCTCTGAAAGCAACGGCTAAGTCCTCTTTTATCCCTTACTCTCCCTCCCTCCTTACCTCTTGCCTGAAGCATCCCATGCCATCACGTCACCCTGCAGTAGGGGAAGGGAAAGATAACAAATACCTCTTTAGTCAAGGTGCTGAGCTATCTACTTCCATGTCTTTCCTCAGTAGTGGTCTTACAATTTCTTTATACAACAGAGATGAGAAGACCTGGCACCTTAACAAAACTCTACAGATCTTATGCCTCGCTCTTCTTTTGCCTGTGGGTTCAACATGATGCTAACAAATGCTAAGGATGCCGGTAAACTGAAGTTCAGTTGAACTTTTTGCCTCCACAGAAGGAAAAAATCAATCTCCTAAAGTACAGAAGATCAGAAAGACTAAAACCAAAAAAACCCAAACCCCCCCCCCCCCCCCCTCCCAAACCCAGAACAAAGTATTTCCTGTTTTCTGTAGTCCCCACCACAACCCTTGCTCTGAAGCAGTAACTTAATATGAAGACCTCGTTAAATACATGGGGAAAACAGAAACGAAATGGACCCATTTCCAGCCATTATACTCCTTTAAAATACTTGTGCTAAAATGGATCTGAGAACCAGATAATTAACATTATACACTTTGCAGAATTTGGTACCTCTTTGTTGCTTTCAGAAATCCTTTCACCAGTGCAGCAATAGAAGGAGAAAAAGTCTGAGCTGCCTGAAGGAGTAACACACCGTACTATGGACCATCACCACTGGAGGCATTTCTCTGGATTCTTCCCTGGAGCTTGCATCAGCTTTGCTAACATCAATTAGAGGTCCAATCACTTCTTACAAAGCCCAGAACTTCCCTGGATTTGTGCTGGAGAGGTAGTCCTGTATGAATTATAGGGTTGGTTATTCTAGTTCAGGTTACACATGGATTTTGATACAGCTGGGAAGCATCCCATGAACAGAGTCTCTGGCACTGTGTATGTAACACAGCAGTTTCTGAGCAGGAAACTCTCAGTATTGCTCTTCACCTCCAGCTCAATAGATTGGGTGAGTGTCTGGTGTTCAGTTTCCTACACAGACTGCTCCACAGAGTTCTGCTTCTAAAAGAATGTCAAGATGCTCAAAAACAGATAGATAAAGAACATGTGACGAGGCAAGGACGGAGGAACTAAAGTTGAAATTGAAATTTGAGTCAAGGAGGTGCATGGCTGATCTCCAGTGCCCAAGAAACTACTTCTAGTTGAAACCTGCTACTGGTTGAGCCAGATTTCAGTTCAGAGCTCTCAAAACACAAAGCAAAAAGGGATGAGTGTCTGAAACATCAGTGCTCCGTTACTAAATCTTTCGCATTGGTGACCCACGCCTTCCACAGGAGAGCTGTAGGGCATGCCACCGTGTCCCCGCTGACAGCAGTTAGTGCAAATCCTGTACAATAGCATGACGAAGCAAAAACAGTCTACACATTGGTTTCAAGTCCAAGTAAGCGTCCCATCCGCTCCATGTTCTTGTCAATTGTGGCACGACACGTGATTTCTTTAGCACACTCCATGGGAAACCAACCTCTTTCGCCATCCCGCAATCGTTCGCCTTCATACCAACCTGCAAGGGTGAACAGACAAGGAGTAACAAACCTTTCCAAGTAATGTTAAAGATACTTTGTCAGAACTGAGTGTGTTGCACTTAAAAAGACACAGCTGACACAATCATCACATACATCTTGTAGTTAATAAACTTTGCAGAATTTGGTACCTCTTTGTTGCTTTCAGAAATCCTTTCACCAGTGCAGCAATAGAAGGAGAAAAAGTCTGAGCTGCCTGAAGGAGTAACTTAAATAAATAAACTACAAGATTAAGATAGGTTTGGCAGGTTTTTTTTTTATATAGGCAGACTAGGAATAAAATAGTATGTAAAAATAAATATATGAAACAAGTACAATACATACTTTTACAATACTTTCTATATTGTAATTCAAATATATTGTTTGAGATTATATAAAGAATGTAACCGCAATCTAAAGAAAGCAAAGCAGCACAACTGATGGGATGTTTGGTTTCATACGTAATACTGACTAACATCATTAAGTCAGGATTTAGTACTTGAAGCGTGGCCAGCTTCAAGCATCGCTGAGTCGGCACATCATGAGATAGCGGTAGAATCACTGGCACATCCAGGCAATAATTGTTTTGATCTCAGGGTACTTGATGCTATGGAGAACAGGCAAAACCGCTGCGCTAGATGCGGACATTTAATGGGCAGTGAAGCACACTATGACATGACTAATAATGTGGATGTTTCTCTTACTCAGACAAACCTGGTGCTCACTCACTAACATCTCTGAGCTCCATGTTTTTAGGTAGAATTCCGTTTCTTATTTGTGGACATTTCACGTCTCAAAACCAACCAGCACATGCTTTCTGCAGCTATTTATCCATATAAATTATGATAGGTAATGGGTTACTTTGAACATCTGTTCCCTAAACAGAGGTTGTCCTTTAGAAACCCGAACCCAAATGCTCGAGTTTTTCTTGGAAGCTAAACCTTTATTCATTGTATGGCCAATGCTATTAGGAAACAAATTCTTCTAGCTGGATCCACCTGCAGCGGTGACAGATGGTTACTAACAGCAAAATTCTCACTCACCATCATTTACTTTTTGATAAACTAAAACAACATCAGCAACTTGAAGAGACAGTTCGTCCGACTGCTTTGCTGTGTAAGTTCTGGTGATCTCTACCTGAGTCAAAGCTGTGGAAAAAATAAGCCAGGCTGATTTAAATGATTGACATAACGGAGTATCTTATACTAAAATATATATACAATTTATTTTAAAAATTTCCATCTTATACTGCCCCCCAAAAAACCCAAAGGAGGTAGTAAATTATGCACATGGCTTCCTACCCGAGCAATTACACACAAACTTGGGATAAACATTTAAGGGAAGGGGCTTTGCATTTTTGCTACGAGATTAAAACAACTGACCAAACCAGTGATAATGAGCGCAAATGGAAATTACTGTGTTGAACACAACGCCTCAAAGCAGCCCCTGTGCACAGGAAGGGAGGGCAGCTCCACAGAGCCCAGGAAAAAAACCAGACCGCGTTTCTAAGGTACTTATAGTCTCCGCTGGCTCATGTCCCCACTAAGGGGCAGCGCGTTTCCATTCTCCTGTCAAAGCTCTGAGAAATCATGTCAGTTGTAACTTACTCGTCCTGTCCGTGTTCTGCCCGTCTCTGTCCTGTCCAAGCGCTGTAATCCAGCGAGCTCTGTCACTCCTGCAAACAGCAAAGACAAAACTCGGTTTCCCAACTCATGGTCTTCATAATAGCCGAGACTACTCCCCTTTTCAAAATTCTGTGTTTAAAGCTTTCCTCTTACTGGGTAAAGAAAACAAAACAAAACCTCCTTTCTTCTCTCAAAATATCGCCAGACGGTGTGATACTACTTCTAGCAATATATTATTCAAACACATTTAACTCTTTTAAGCATGTTGGATTAGAAAAAAAAGCCTATATACATGGGTCCTACTGGCATGATGCCGTGCATACCTTTAGTTTAATTACTGTGAAGCAATGCAGGTAGACTATTCCGCTAGTGGCTGTAACTAATACATATTAGTAATCTAATAAAAAAAGTAATCCATCTAATGTACAAAGGGTCTGATAAATGCAATACAGCATTTTTAACATACAATACCAACAGGTTTCCTGTAAGAACTGTATCTGCAACATGCACTTAGAATGTTACAAGAATGAAAAAAACAGATGACACTGGTAATTTTTTTATATCCCAACACACATTCTTCCTCAAAGCTGAAACTACTGCACATGTCCTACTAATATTTGATATCTGTTGCTCAAAGGGCCAAAACTACAACACATGCTACTTTACACATTTCAGCTATTAAAAGTGGTGCTAAACTTGTGTTTCAACTAAAATAAGAAAGTCTGTATACAATTTTGCATGAGCTTAACTTTCTGGGCTCCCCCCCTTTTTTTTTTAGAAACAGGTGTTATTTATACTCATATTTTCCGTTCCCTGTAACCATTCTTAACAGGAAAACTACATTTCCTTTCAACTTTCCTTACAACTCTGAGAACAATGGGATAATGCCAGACTGTCTCCCAGTTTAAGTGTATATTTCTTCATAATCTGCGTATACCGTGTATTTTGTGCCTTGTTCACAGAGCAATATAAAGTTCCTGACCTAACGCTGCTACTTTTGTACTTGGAAACCCCACAGCGCATGGAAGTGACAAAACACGATCAAACCGCACTAGAAATGTTTGCGTCAGTGAAAACATTTAAGTTTTACATGTGCGAAATTGTACGCAATAAGGACTCTACACCATCCAGCTTGGCCTTCCCACTGTAGATCCCCTTCCCGTCCTTCTCAAAGTTAAGAGAAAGTTTAGTTTTTCTGTACCCTGGGTATACATGATAATACGCTACAAAAATAGGTAATTTCCAAGTCAAGTCATTCTTTTCAGAATGTGTTCCTCTGAAGGACAATCTGCTAGACTGCTATTTATATTACGAACAGTATACAGCAAATCAATAATAAATCTGCAGAACAAAATGTCTTTTCTTAAAAAGGCCAGACAACTAAAAATGTACTGCATTTTTTCCCAATAAAAATGCATTTCCAAACAAGTCTGAATCATCTGCTTACTTTATAATGAGATCTTTACTAGAAATCATTAATGATCTATAGTTTCTTTCAGGGTTATTCTAAACTTTGAAAGCAAACCTAAAACTGTAAAGTTTCCAGGCTGGGATATGTCTGGAGCACTCTGTTTCACATCTTCTATCCTGCCTCCAGCTTCCACTAAAACAGATAAAATCTTTCACTTTTGTGAAGGGTTGTGTGGAAGTTAATGGCACCACAGAGCAATGATGGCCTCTCGAATATTTGCACCCAAAAGAACAAGACGCTTCTTGTTGCGCATTTCTAAAGCGGAACACTCTTAAAACTGCACAGGAGAACAAGGACCACCTCTATCCCAGCACAGCTCCACAGCTTCCCCAAGGCAATGCCGAACTCCTCCTCCCATTTAATCCAGTACTGTTTCCACTTCTGCACCATCCAACCGTTATAATAAATAATTCACAAATCGCTGCTCCAGGACAAGAGCGCTCTCCATTCACAGGTGACGTTTGCCTGCTACCCCCACTGCGCCTGTCTCCTCCTGCCAGTGCTGTGCTCCACACCTGGACGGAGGACTTGGCTGCTTAAGTCACATTTGTAGTTCAAATTAAACAGTAAGAAACTCCCATATTGCAGTATGTAATCATTAGATTGTGTAGTTTACTTAAAACTTGCATTATGTGGCAGAACTTTGTTTTCTTTCTTTTTTAAGTTGAAAATAACTTAAATTTAATGGAAATTCCTTCCATAACCCCCAAACCCCAAGAAATCCAAACTGCTTAAATCTCCGTCCCGCAGCCCTTGTTTGCCTCACCAGTAACAACTAGAAGGGACTCAGTAATCCCTGACGAGGGAGCTGGCAATCTCCATGGCACAGTTAAATCTTGGCCTGAAGACCCAAAACAGTAGCACATAACAATGGATACTTCAGTTCACAGAACTTCAGCGTATGCATTCGATTTTCCATTTTTCCTACACCGTGACCTCAAGGAAAGAGACTGATGCTAACAGGACGCGCACTTAGAACCACTGATTCCTCTCGTGACAAGATGACGTTGGAGCAACTGAACTAGGTTTGCAGGAGGCTGTGTTTTATTCCAGTAATACTTATTCCAGTCTGTCTGGGGGGATAGTACATAAGCTGCGCGTTCTCCTGCTCTGCCACTCTTTACAGTCAGAGAGGCCTGTCGAGGTTACCTCGCCTCACTCAAAGTACGCACTCACAATGCGCGGAGTGCGAATCCCGGCCGCCGGCAGGGTGGCAGCGAGTGCCGCGGCGTTCCTGAGCAGGGCACCAGCACGGTGCACCACGAACAGAGGAACGTCTCTGCAGCAGCGCTCCTCTGGGCACGGCTGATCGGGCGCCACAAAGACTGCCTGCGTGGCAACTGCTTTCATTGCGTTTTGATTTAAACTTGCCAGACGGAAGCTGGGCGTTTCGTACTAGCTTGGCCGGGGCTGGGAGGCAGTCTGTTGAGATCATCAGGTGAGAAGTTACAGAAACAGTAACCGTTTACTTACTGAGTCTCTGTTCCCAGGAGCATCTCCACCTTCTCTCCTGCGTGGTTACTGAGGACCGCTAGTCGGAAGAGGTGAGTCGCAGAACTCTGCCGCGAGTAGAGCATCGTTGAAGCATTCTTTACAGGAGAAGAAGTCAGGTCCTCGCTGTCACATTGTTGTACCACCAGCTGGTCCCTTAAAGAGTAATCTGTGACGTTGTAACTCTCTTCACTGCAGAACAGAGGAGGGAAGAAAAAAAAAACCCCACAAGTTGAATGTTTAGTTTTCCATTAAGTATGACTGAGTTTGCTTCTAGACATAGAATCCACTTTTAACTATGTAGTACGGTACAATTCTTCTGACACCTCAGATCTTCACTTTTCTGTTTATTTGCTTTTGAAACTACCGATTTTCCAAGATATAAAATAGATCAGCTTTTAAACACTGTGGAATTCCATTTAGTGGCACAGTTCTTTGGCGTTCTTGAGATGGTGTAAGCTCAACTTACTCAATTTGAAAACAGGAACAGCAATTGTACAGAATTGTGCTTCTTTTTCTTCTGTAGCTTCGATGAACAGCAGACTTTACTTTTAGAATCTTACGGGAATATAAGTAAAACTTCCCTTTTCCTGTGCCTGTAACACTATGGATACGCACACTGCTTCCAGACAAACACTACTGATCTTCATTTTAAATACAGGATAATCATCTGTACTCCTTGCCCACCTGCATGTAAAGGGCTAGTCTAAAAACTATTTTACAGTTTTCTGAAACACAACTTTAGTCAATTGTGAATATTAAAAACAGCCTGTAGCACACTATTGGTCTTGCAAAATGCACTGCCCAATTTACCTTTTAGAAAGTACTTTGTAAATAAATACACTAACTCCAAGTGACGTGAATAAAGATTGCTATGTGTGCTTAATAACTTCCAAAAGTGACTAGAAAGAATTCTAAGATATTAAGCAAGTTAGAAACTTTGCTTTCCTTACAGTTGAAAAGTAGGTAGAGAGGTGGACAAAACTTACCTTTGCTGACACAATACCACGTTTGACACAGAAAACAGAAGACCTCAGAACTACTTCTTATGTCAAAGTCATTGAATGCTAAATTATGCCAAAATGACGTTATGGTAGTTTTCCCAGATAGGTGAAAACATGCAAACATTAGACATCACAAATCAGAATATAAAAGCATTACTAATTTTAACAACAGAAGGACTTTAATGAAAATATGCATTCTTGCCTGAAGAGCAGACTTTTATTTCTAAATGTGAGAACCACTTCAGCCACTCAAGATCTTCCGGAGGGCTGAGGGCAGGGCAAAGCCGCATGTCTGGACAAGGCACCCTGTCACGTACGGCCGTGATGGACGGTAGCGGGGAACAGTTACTTCAACCCCCCTATTCTTCAATCCACTCCCATGTATTTACAACGTGGACTTCAACTTCAGAACATCCAGACATCTCGAGCAGCATTCCTTCGCACTTTTACATAAGGTCAACCAGTAATCCTGTCGATTGCTTTTACTGCTAACTCATATCAAGGCAACACTGGAAATGTATTTTTTTCCCAGAGGAAAATAATGGCATTTTCAAATTTTTAAAGTCGTGAAACATAGCAAAAGAAACAGTTAAAAGAATCTACATCACTTATTCAAGAAATATGAGTTGATCACAAGAAAAGAGAAGGCGGATAAAATGGCCTTTTTGTTTCCACTGAAGCTTGAGAGCGTATTTCCTAGAATTGTCTTACACACATCTGCAAGTTTACCAGGACATATCACCAACCCAGGATGCTGATAAACTAAATTGCCTCATAATTTTATGTACGCTTGTAAACTTTTTTCAGATTTGTTGTCCTACACTGGTGCAATAAGAAAAAATAGAAACAACCCTGCATACATCGGCATAAAGCCAGTTCCCCCTCCCAGCTCACACGCTGCTCTGTTCGACAAATTTTGCAGTCAATCAAATACATCAAATTGTAAGGTGCAGCTATACATAGTCCATCTTAAAGTAAAATCTGATAGTCCTCAGTCTCGAGTGACGAAAAGCTGCACTAGAGCCTCGTATTACTATGGTTCATTAAAATAATTTAAATTGAAAAAATACTTGAGAAGATTAATTTTGCTGCCAGATACAGAGAAACCTAAGCACTGAACTGATACAAATCAAATCCCCAACACCTGGAACTGAAGCACTCGGAAATGCTGATGGTGACATACCCCTTTCTGGCAGGTGCAAATGAAGCATGTTCTTCCTTGATGGTTGTGCAGCTTTTGTAAGAAAACGGACAGCTGATGACAATGTCTGTTGGGATATATTCTACCCATTTGGTGAACTGTCAGAAAAATATTTGCAAATACCTCAGTAGTTAATATAATGGTCTCTATAATTCTTACTTTTAATCCCTTAGAAAAAGAATAACTAAAACACAACTGAGAACATTATGACTCAAAACGTAAGTGATTGCTGATTTCTGTCTCACAAAGCATTAGAAGAATTTTTCTATTCAAGTGATGACAGGTTTACAGGTCATACTGTATTTATGGATTTTTGTGGATTAATACTTTCTGCCAGTGTGTCTAGTGTAAAAACAGAAATTTTACTTCAACTATGTGGAATATATTTTTACTTTTGTTCTGTGAATTAAATACTTGAAATGTTGTGGTTTTTCCAGTACACCTTTGTACATTCTCAAGTGATCAATGTAGTTCCATTAGTATCACATTCCAATCCTTCTCACAAGTATTTTTTCTTCTCATCTCTTCTGGGGAGGTTGGGGGCTTTACAAAGGAAGCAGAAGCAGTGACAGACAAGCTTAGTTAGATTTATCATACAGAAGGACTGAAATCACTGTAGCTCCTAAGATGATGAACACTTTCCTTCCCTGTTTCGTTTTCTCCAGGTCTGAAAACGGTGCCAACAATTCCCCACAATCCGCTGGTGTTTTTCCACTCTGAGGGCTGGAATCACAACTCCCCAGTCAGGTACCATTGACAAAGGGACAAACGTCCAAAAACACCGTTGCAAGAACTTAAAATAGCTTTAAAAACTCTCCCCCCAGTTTTGGTTAACCTAGCTTTTGATCAGACTGTTGCTTCCATGTTCCTTAGAGTAAAAAAAGTAAGTCACATCGGAAATGAGATGGACACAGCAAACTCAGAGTGCTGTAAAAATGAACGCAGGTTACATATGCTATTACACATGACTTCGTGGGTCCCAAAGTAGAAAGAATACAGATTACAAATAGGTTTTGGTCTAATTAAAGGAATTTAATATGAGCACACTGAGAACATGGGAGAATCTTCAATATTTCAGCATGTGGAAAGCTAAGTTTTAATTTCTGCATATACAACCCCAGGATGCTAAAAGGTCTCTTAATTCAAATGTATTCTGTATGTCCTTATCTTTTGGGAAAGGTGCACACACAGCTCTTCCCTGAAACAACAGATTTAAATTTACTGGGATTGTGCTACTGTAGAAAAGCATAAGTGTTTTAAAAGAGGGGCTATGAGAGGGGAGGGAGTAGAGACTGTGGATTTAGGTTTCACGTTCCCCTAATTCCAGCTCTAGACTCTAATTCCTTTATCTACAAAGAGATGCTACTTATCACTTGAGGACAATTGTTTCAAGTGCCATCCATAGCAGCTGAGGCTTCCTACTGAAGAAGAAAAAAACATTTTATATCTAATAGTTATCAGTCTCTCTCTTCCTCTTTTTTCTTAAAATATATGCTCCAAAACAGAGAAAGGCTGGGGGGGTGGGTGGGGTTTTTTTGGGGGTGGGGGGTGTTTTTTGTTTTGTTGTTTTTTGTTTATCGGTGTGGTTGGGTTTGGTTTGTTTTTTTTTTAAAGACTTCAGCTCAGTATTTTAGTGTGGGCAATCCCTGCATAGCCAGGGACAGAACTAGCAAAAACAGCTCAGCATGCTGCTGTAGTTACTTGGGAATCTTGCATCTGGAAAAGAAATGTAGTCTATACATTTGCATAATGAATAATAAATGCATTCTTTACTAATTAATCAGTAAAGATAAACCTCTACAAATCCTTCCTATTTCTTACCTCTATTCAGCAAAAGTCCGATTTGAAACTGCTGGGCAGCCCTCATCTTTTTACCTCCACAAACTCCCCTCCTTCCAAACGGGTAACAAAATATGCAGATAAAGCTGACAGAGCTGGCGTGAGCAGCTGTACATAAAGGGAAAGCTAATCCGCTCCGCCAGGCAGCGAAGTAACAGGAACAACATTTAGCACATTCTCTAAAATTACTGTAATCAGGTAATACCAACATGCCTACGTTCATTTTCAGTTTAAGACTGAACTTTTTTGCTAAACTTTTATTTAGAAAAGAACATGAAAAAACAGGAGTATTTTACATCCCTTCGCAGAGAATGCATGCAAATTTTAGAGGCGCTTGTATGAAGACCAGATAGCTCTCGATGCAGTACCATCTGTTCTAGACCCCCTATACCTTATCAGAAAGCACCTGGGCAGTCTCCCGATTTCCTTTACTCTTTCCAGCTGCATTACTCTAAAATCCTTTGTGTTCCATGCAAGTTACTTTGCATTTGTGCTTGCCTTTAGTTACAAAGTCACCCCTGGCACCTTGAGTAAAACTATGGGTTTTCAAGCAGCTGCGCACAGGTAACATTCCCAAGCAGCAGTGAAGCCCCAGGTGATGTCCAGTGTATGAAGTCCAGCTGCATTCCGCTGTCAGTGTATCTCAGGAGCTGAGAAGCCACAGAGCTGTTAAGACAGACAGGATTCTAGCAATATCCTTAGGGGATTGTGGAAAATAGAATATTCAATAAATGTACTCTCATTCAAAATATAATCCCCTCTGGAGTTCACCTGAAATCTTATAACAGCACTCGGGATGTAACTGGTGGATTTTCTGAATAGCTGGATAAGGCAGCTGTTTAGTTGTTGTCCTGGTTCTAGCAGGGATGGGGTTAGTTTCCCCAAGGATGCGGCAGGGACACAGGTATTCCATACCACGAGCCATGCCTGCGCCATAGGGGGAGCTGGCGGGGAGTCGGGGCTCAGGGCAGGCTGGGGCTGCCTGAGTCCAGTGGGGGAGCAGCGGTACCGTAATCGCGTTAATATATTCCTTTATCAGTGGTGGTGGTGTTTTTCCTCTTTCCTTTGCTGTTTTGTTCAACTGCCTTTATCTCAACCCACGAGTTTTGCCTTTCTCTTCACATTTTCCCCCATAGCTGTGGGGCTCGAGCGAGCTGCCGCATGGTTCTTTGCCGTCAGCTGTGACCAAACCACGACAGTTGTATGTAACACAGTGGCACCCATAACAGTAGATGTCATGGCCAAAATCTCCCCTTCTCTGGAGGTTTTCAAGACCCGCCTGGATGCAGTCCTGAGTGATGTGCTCTGGGCAGTCCTGCTTTAGCAGGGGAGTTGGGCTAGATGATCTCTAGAGGTCCCTTCCAACTCTGAAGATTCTGTGATTCTGTAACAAAACTTCATGAATTGCAGAGTTCTCCTGAACTCTGCAGAACATAGAGCTAGCTCATAGGCAGCTTTGAGCATTAATTACTAATACATGTAATCATATCTTTGTGGTCCCACAAGGGCACGCGGGATAAAAGGAGGCATTTGACTTTTGGTAGAGTTCAAAGCTAGCTGTATCCAATTTTTAGCAGAAGAACGTTACGGTGTACGCTTCTGAGCCGGCAAAAGGTATGGGAGAAATCGCCTCCTCTGTAGCCTGGTGCTCTCCTCCAGCAGTTATAAAGTGTGCACTACAGAAACTCTACTGCGCCGGGCACCAGACCCACAGGTACCTACACCCAGCAGTTACGCTCGTCAGCTGTGCAGAGAGGTAGGGATGACACTTACACCCATACCTGGGCTTTAGAAGAGGGAGAAAACTGAAAACTCATGATGAAGGAAATACATGCAAACATAAAAGTAGTATAGGTGTTTAAACCAAGTATTCTATATTTTACTAAAGCATTGATTTCATCATGCTTTGGAATAGTTTCTTCACTAGCCCCAGAGAAAGCATATCTCCCAAGCACAACACGAGTAACAACTGTAGTGTAGTGCATAGGAATCATGAGGCAGCCTGGAAGAACAGCTCTTGAGAGATGAATTACATTGCATGTTACTCCTTACGTCAGAATACTACCTTCAAAATCCAATGTCAGCATAAGCTATTGGTTTTCTGGTCCCTGCAGGGGATGCCGTGGCCAAAATAGTGGCAATTCACAGTACAGCAAGGGGGTGGATCAAAAACGAACAGAAGCCAGAAAAGGAGCAAAAAGAGAACGGAGTTAGAGAATGAAACAAAAGGGTTAAACCAGTAGTGGTTCAGCAACACTACCACAACCTGAATGAACAATGCATGAAATATTTAGGTTAAAGTCAGTTTACACCGAGATCTTTGCAGAGTAGTCACAGTGTTTAACTTCACAAATTTCTAAGCTAACGTCCCAGAGCTACCAGAACAGTCGCAGAGAGAGAGATGCTCTTCTAGACCGCAGTTCAAACAGGCAGAATTAGGCTTCTGCTTAGAACTGCTCTCCTAAGGGACCCACCTTCTCCCCTGGCTGCACAGGCAGCCCTGGAGGAGAACGTTGAGCAGTCCAGACATCGCCCAGCTCTTCGCTTTGTGCCATAATCCAACCAACATCCGTCTTCACATGAAGAAGAATTAACTGATACCTTGCTGTGCACCAACCGTGTAGCGGTTGGCCTTTCCACCGAGACGTGGACATCCTGACACATGCTAGCACTGACCATTCTTTTCAAGGTAATGTATTAAAACTTTACAAGTATTAAGAAAGGGTTTTTTTTAAGTGACATTTAAAAAAAAAAAAAAAAAAAAAAAAAATCAGATTGTGTCTACCCAGCAGAAGGGGCTACAAGAAAGTACTACTGAACAGGGAAAAAGTTCCAAATTAACCAGAAGCCGAGCAGCACTGAAATGCACATTTTTATTCTCCAAACTCTTGTGTAGAATGACATACATCACAAGCTCATGTGTTGCTTTTTGGGCTAATCCCAATGGCCAATCGTGAGTATTATTCAGTAGCTGTTTGCCTTACTCCGTCAAAGGGCGGGTGTGATGAGGCAGCTGAGGAGCTGCTTTACAGCACACCAGTCAGAGCCCACTTGACTGCCAAGCTACCTGTGACACACAAAAACGCACCGTCCAGCGGTGACATGGAGAGCACAGACCTCTGAAATATTTCATAGTGGCATGAGATATAGCCACGCAGTGCCTGTTAAAAAGGAAGAGACTTTGGTAGCTGAATTTCATTTAACCTACTTAATGGATAAGCAAAGGCAGTTAAACCTTGCGGTTTCAATCAGGAGGTGAAATTGTAGCTGAGGAAGATTATGCTGAATGAAATATCATTAAAATTAAAATGTTAAGAACTCTGGCGCATGCTGAGTATGCACCAACACAAGATCTTTTTTTACAGCTAAAATGTAACAGTTCTCATTAGAAAAAGGTTTTTGGAACGCTTCTCCCTCAGGATTAAAAATGCTGTCTCCCAGCGATGATTCTGACATTTGGAAAGTGTCCGCGAGATGAGGACGTGATGCGCGCCGTATCTGGTGGGGCTGGAATTACCTAACAGTCACCAACAGGACTTCTCCGACAGGTGCCATCACGCCTGGCCTGTAAGAAGCCGGGACTGAGCCACTGCCAGCTGCGTGCGTGAGGCTCTACTTATATGGCAAACTGCTGGGACGGGAGAGCTGAAGATTAACTTCTGGGTAAAGATTAAACAGCATGATTGCAGCACTAAGTAATTAGTATTTTTAGCACAGTAGTGAGGAGTTGGGGTTTTGTGCAATGTTAAGAATCTTCTGAAATGCAACTGCTCAAGTAAAAACACAAACATTTAAACTCAACTAGTTACAAATATTTCTGTCCACTGCTGTGGTGTCCATGGGAACACTGTGGGTGGGAAAACACATCACCAAAAAGCTCAAATATTATTAATAAGCTTAGTGACTTGGGCAAAGTACATGCTTCATGCTCTGAGCATCTGGGAGACTGGCAGAAATCAGTGCTTTTCATTTATATACCCTTTTGTTTAGGGGGTCTCAGTAGAGTGAGTATGTGAATCTGATCACTAACATGAAGTGTTCTTCAACTTTGACTTCTGGGCCCATTTAGGACATTTCAATTCCAACAGCTGGAAGCTGTTCTAAATCAAAAAGCCCCCAAGTTTGGATAAGATATGTTGTTACAAAAGTGTTTTATAATCTGGACAACAAACCATCACATAGGAAACCAATAAACAATGGAACAACACAGATAATAGAATTTTCACTGTTTCCCCAACTCAAACATTTACTTAGCTACCAACACCAAACTACGTTAACAGTAGTCTCGTGAGAAAAGAAATGCACTGCTTAAAAAAAGTGCGATACAGCTCTGTGATGCGCTGCCAGTGATTTAACAAGAGACTTTCACAGAAACATTTCAGCATAGGCTTTGATAAACACTGAATCTCAGAGACATGTTCAGGGCAGTGAGACAGCCGGGGAGAAATCGAGTCACTTTTCTTCCCATCTTTATAAAAAAATACCCCTTCACTTAATTATTTTTCCCCTCCATTTCCATTTAGCTCTTTGCTTAAATATTAGCATTTTCTTCTCAGATGTTATATCATACCTAATTCCTGAGAATTTATCTAAATTACGGATTAGAAGTTTCACAGAAGGGTGCGTTTTAAGAATAGCTGGTATTTGGCTTAACTGGCCAAGCCAGATGCAAGATAATTGTTCTTCACAACAGTTTTTAGCCTCAGGAATAAGGTTTATCTATCAAGTGTTACCTAATAGCAACAGCAGAGGATGTAAATTCCATTCAATTTAATTATTCTAAACATTCCCTCAAATTTAATGATAAAAAATTAAATGGAGACTGTTAAAAGTTGTATCCCATACATCATTCTCAAAAACAGCTCAAGTGTGGAAAGCGTGGAGGGGAATGAAAATTCCTACTTCTCTGCCTTTCCAAAACCTCTCCCTTTGCTGAGGCATCAAGGATGAACTTTCTAATTTGTTTGACAATTCGGAATTTCAATTGCATTTGCCAAAAATAAATCCTGTTTAACAAGCAGTTACTTGTCATTTCTAAACACAGTTCGAGAGAGCAGTATTAGAAAACTGAAATAACATCTTAATTCATTTACTCTCTCTGACACAGAATATGAAAACATAGAAATGGCTTTACAAGTGTGTACTGGACTTAAAACACATTTAAACCATATTCCCTCCCGGTTTATGTTGCAAATGTACCGGGTCCACTTACTTCTCTTTGAAACCCCTTCATTCTTTCAAACAGGCATGTGGCTAGAATAGACGTAAAAGTGCTGTGGATGCACTCAAGTTTGCTGGTCCAAAGCCAGAAGGCGTTGCTTTTCACTTCCCCTGGGGGAGGCACACACAACTGCCGTGGTAGTTTTAAAAGAAGAGGGTAACTCAGCTGTTCTCTCTGCGATTCAGGGAGTTGAACACAAAAGCAATTTTACATTGGTGACGCTCTTACCTCTTCTTCTTGGTGATAATGAGGACATCATTAAAGAGGAAGAAGTACACCTGCTGCTTAGAAGTCCTTTTAGAAAAAAGTCCAGTGTCTTCTACATATGTTGTTAATTCACCCCTTTTCACTAACCATCGTGAAGAGGAAACCAATGGAAATGGCTACAAAGCAAGAAAATAACATTTTAATCCTTTAAAAGCAGAGATTTTTAAAAATCAGAGTGCTACAGATTTTGGAAAAAAAAAAAGTCTGAATAAACTCACAGCTCAGAGATCACGAGAAGCAGCACAAAACAGAGGTTATCAAGGTTTAAGGTATCGTCATCGTTCATATAATACCCAAGTCGTAGTCTGCAAATACTTGAAAATCACTCATGCATGACAATTGCTCATCTCACATAAAAAAGAACAGCCTTGATTGCTCATACTTGGGATGGAACAGACTATGGGAGATCTCTTAAGGAGATTAAAACTAAAGAGACTGTCTTTCAGGAATATGTAAGTTTTTGTAGAGTAAGCAATCATTCTTTAAGCACGTACGAACACTCGATTTTCCTCTGGGTACCTCACAGGTGTTCTACCTAAACAACTGGGAAGAGCTTCAGCTTCTCATCTCAAACATGAGGGCTACTGCGCCTGCCTTCCGTTGCATCCCTAAGGCCAGCTAAAGCGATGCTGTGCCGCCTGTCTGATGGTGTGTTCTGTTCCATGCACAGAATAAATAAAAAAGTAAAACCCTTTATCAGATAAATACACTGCACAATCCACTTTGACGTATTCTGCGAGTATATTAAAACAGACATAAACAGACCTGGAGACAGCACACAAGATCAGATTGGTCCTAGGACAGTATTGAACATTACTATTGTTATTGAGACGTTCAGAGTATGCAGAATTTTTCTACATTAAAGAGTGAGGTACGTGAGGAATGCCAGAAGGCTCAGCAACCAAATGTGGTGACATCCATTTTCTGCTCTATAAGTAAACTGAAGTTCCAACACAGCTCTGCAAAACAACGTGCAAAGCAGCATGTGATATGTAGGGTTTGAATTAGCTGTCCGTGTTAATGCCAAAACAATATAGTTGGCTCCAGACATCATAAATTCGGCAGTGGTTTGAAAGACATTTCTGAAAGCTTTTAGAGGGCAGCTCTTTAGGCATCCACGTACTAAAGGCCGTATTAATAATTACCTCTCCTTCCTCAGGATGAACTTCAGCTTGTTTATTCTGTCTTCCATTTTGTCAGAAAAGGTGACTGTTACATGCCTGTTACAAAGCCTGAGCTGCGCCGCCCGTCCCTTACGTGTTCACACGATACCACTGGAGAGCAAGAGGCATCCACTTTGCCCACGCTCGCTAACTGTACCCCAGACCTGCTGCAGTAAACGGCTGCTTACTGCTACATTTTATGGAGCTTATATATTTTTCTTCATCCCAAGCTAAATAATCAAATTTTCATTTCTGCTTTCAATATAACTGGCTTTCTGCTTATCAAACTTCCCTACTTGCTTTCCTGTTGTTCAAATTATCAGTCTTCCACAATTAGACTAATGAACACACAACTGCTTTTTCTTCCCCCCTCACTTAAAGCACCTTTCACATGCTTGTAAAAATTACTTCTTCATTCAGTTTGTCAGCTGTCGTCATTCTGCATGGATTGGCTTTTCATGTCCTTCAAGCACTTTATCTGCCCTTTACTGAGCTAATTTCAGCCTGTCAATACTTGCCCCATAGTTCTACACCAAACCCAAAACACAGTGCTTTGACTGTCATCTCACTGTTGGAAGAACAAAATACTAACTCCCTAATTTTACGCGCAGCCACCCCCTTGTTAAGTTTGAGGTACGATTTTACAGTGACTCTGAAGTGGCACACGACAAAACAATTAGTCCAAAAGCGCTGTTTCTGCCACCCCACAGCACCACAGAACTCTGCCCCGTGCTCCACTTTGGGGGGTAGCACACCGATGGCAGACGAAGGTCGCTCAAGACCGCAAAGCCTAGCAGCCCTCCGGAACTACGGCAACTTGTTACAAATTAAAGAAGCCTTAAACTTTTTGCCCTGCCCCAGACTGATTTCTGTCCCGGTATACCCAGAACCGGCAGTGATGGACGTCCACCCTCACCTGGTACGTGAACACAGACATCCACGGAACAAGACCTTCGCTATACTGCAGACCCACATTAGGGACCGTTCAAAACCTGTATTGTTTCAAAATGACTACAGAGAAACACCAACATAGGTCAGTTCTCTGCTACGATTATTAGTATTTTTACATTTGTGCTACCAAGATAGTATCGGTGTATTGAATCTTGAAGAAATTCCTTTGGACATTTCTTCTCAATTAATCTAAGCTCACATGTTCTGTTCTGATTTATGTGACCTTTTTGTAGGTTTCTAGTTTTATATTAGCCATTAGTTTATTAAATGCATTTTCTACTGTATTCTCTACTTTTGAAATGCAGAATTTTGTTTCAAATCTGTATTTTATAAATAGATTGTATCCAAGTCTGTTAGTGAATCAGAGTAAACCAATCTGGTTATAAATTACTGTTGTTTCAGGATCATTAATTGGTATTGTCACTCAGATCAGTGGCTAACTTAGACTTCTATCAATCCGATTTTATGACTTTCTCCTAGGGCTGCATTGTGTCATTGCTCTTACAGATGGTCATTTCACTAAATACACGTCATTAAACCTCACAGGTTGTAAAGACCCATTTAGCTCAGTACTGTGATACAGCAATCCCGAAGGAGCTCCCAACCTCCCTCACTGAAATCAAAGAAAGTTTTACATTGACATTCAGCCTTAAAAAATTGGGCTTACTTTCAATCCAAACTCTGCTGGTTCGGTGCCTTCAGGTGACATGAAAATCAAATTTTTAAACAAATGGGTTTTGTATTTCCTGAAATGCAGTAATGGTTGCATCAGACAATACAGGAATGTGAAACATCCGACCATACCCTGACAGCACCATCGCGCTTTGTGTGACTACCAAATGGAAAGACTTTGGGCTAAATGGTCCTTGAACACAGAAGGCACAAGTTTGTTTCATGAACACAAAAGTGTGTTTGCAAAAAAAACCAAAACAAAACAAAACCCAAAAAAACCAAAATTCTCAAACCCACCACCTTTCTGGTGCTAAAGATGAAAAATTTAAGAGTAAAAACTTCTGAATCTTAATTAAAAATTAAATTCTACAGATTAGCCACATACAAAAGTAACGTAACATTTGAGTAGCTTCTCTGGTACTCCCATGAAATGTGCTACAGTTACATCTAACAAAATAATAAAGTTAAACAAAAATCCCAAAACACTCTATGAGGTTGAGCAAGAACAGAAATAGTTTACCTAATTTATAATGGTTATAAAACAGAATTACAGCACCACAATGATTGTTTTACAAACAAAAAGTACTCTAACAATTTCTATTTGAGGATGAACTAAAAATTGCACTAATCTGTGCTCCAAGCAAGTTCATCATATCTTCCTAATTGACTGTATTCCAAAGGCAGCTTTTTACTTTCCTATTAGTTTTTCCTTAATTGCCAAAAAAGTACATCACATATACCATCTCCTTTCTATATAAAACAAGCTGTCAGAACTTCAAATGTATTGAAACTTGGCCAAAACAGTCTTTTATATACCAGCTGGCAAGCTCTCAAACCACAGATAACGTCTAAACCACTAAGTGGTTATACTTAAGATGCACAAAGGAAAAAAAAAACCTTGCATAAAAACTAGAGAAAAACAAAATAGAGAAAGTTGCTATCACTGCCTGCCTAGTTCCCGTGTGCACAGGGCAGAACTGCACAGGGCTCTCGCGTCTGCAAAACTGGGACCAATGGTGCGCGTCCTCTTCCCACGGGGAAAGGGACAGACTATAAACCACTGTTCCTAACGGCAAAATCTTCACAGCAGCTTACTTTGTCTTTACAGCAAAGCATACGTAATTCAATACATATTAAAAAACTCCCATTTTGCTATAAAATAACCCTTCTACTTAAAATAAAAATACTTGACAAAAGTTTTAATTTTTATCCTGACATAATACGTATCTTAGCAAGAATTAGTGTGATATGAAGATGCCATTAAAGTTCCACTGTTTACTGTATCAGTTACAGATACTAATTAACTCTTTAAAAAACCCACACAATTTGTTCCTCAACTGCAGTTCGAAATCTAAGCAAAACATCAGAACTATCTACAGCTCACAGGAGAGTTGATTCCCGTGGGATGAAATTTATCCGAACGCGTTCACACAGAGCCAGACAACGTGCTGCAGTGAGAAGCAGCACTGCTCCGCAATGCAGTACCTCCACCCAGAACACTTCCTGAGCCCAGCCAGAAAGCGCCCATTCTGCCGGAGACCCCAGCGGATTCGGCAGCGAGCCAGGCGTGTGCTCAGTGCCACCACCTCCGTCTGCAGCAGAGAACCGCAATGATTCTCGTACAAATTGGAACCGATGCTGTGTGTTCTCCTGCTCTTGTTTTATGTGAGGAGGAAAGAGAGACAGAAAAGGGATTCAAGCTCTGATAAGCCTTGAGGAAACGAAGGATGAGAAGGACGGATGTGGAGGCTGAGCGACGTCTGATTCTGCGTGTGAGCTGTGACAAGACATCAGGCACTTTGTCACACATTACGTAAAACAGCACGAAACTGGACCAGTCCTCAGTCACTGAGTTCCCAGGGCTTCAGCTACCCCACAATATGAACTTATCTTCCGCGACAGAAAAGTCACATCAATATTCCGGCCTACGCTAGTTTACTTTATGCTGGCAGTGAACCTATTGAAACCTAACACGTAGTCAAAACAATTCGTGTGGTAAATGATTTATGGTCAGAAATATCACCGTCATACCTTGATTTTAAATTCCAGTTGGGAGTTAATTGTGTACATCATTTCTGTCCTTTCCATCTTCCGAGCACCTTCGTTGCATAAGCGCACCAGCTAGAAATGAGACATGAAGTTAACAGGTTTAATGCACTCAGGACTTGTCATACAAACTTTGTTCCTTTGTAAAACACACTTCTGAGGAAGCATAAACATTACAAAGGAACTGACATTTTCACACTGGGTCACAGACATTGTGTTTTCAAGACCGGACTGCACGTGGCCCCGAGCGACCAGGTCTGACCTGACAGCCAGTTCTGCTTTGAGGCTGGACTGGATGACCTCCCGAGAGCCTCCTCAACCGGAATTATCCCACCATACTATGGTAATTATTTATTCATACTATGGTAATTATTTATTCTTCAGGGGAGTCCAGACTGTACAAAGCTTCAGCCAGAAGTTCTGACTGCGAAGGGCTAGAGCTCTCTGATCCAAGTTAGTGATCAGCTCCAAAGCAACCAACCTCCCAGACTGAGAGATCAGCGCTGTGTCTACCACAGCCCCGATGCTCTCACAGAAGAAACTCCACACACACGTTGCAGTACCACCTTGTTAAACTAAGGCAAACAGTGTCCTAGGAAAGTGTTTCATTGCAGTTGACCTTCAGAAAGTATTTTTAAAGCATGCTGCAGTTTTACTGAAGCCTGCACACAGAATCATAGAATCACAGAACGGTTTGGGTTGGACGGGACCTTAAAGGTCATCCAGTGCCACCCCCCGCCCTGGGCAGGGCCACCTCCCCCCAGCCCAGGTTGCTCCAAGCCCCGTCCAACCTGGCCTTGGACACCTCCAGGGATGGGGCAGCCACAGCTTCTCGGGGCAACCTGCCCCAGGGGATCACCACCCGCACAGGAATGAATTCCTTATATCTCATCTCAGTCTCCCCTCTTCCAGTTTGAAGTGACAGGACGACAGGTAATGGCTATGTGCTCTGGTGAAAAGTCCCTCTCCCACTTTCTTGTAGGCGCCCTTCAGACACTGGAAGGCCGCACCCCACGGGGGTGGGGAGCACAGGGGAACAGGGGCCATGAGAATGCATTCCTTTCACCCCGCTCCAACAGGCACGGACTTCCCAAGCGCGAGCGGGTCCTTCCTCCTGTCATACACCAACACTTCACACACCATACACTGTTCCTACAGAAAAACCCCACTGCGCTGGCAGCTGTCGAGTGCTACCGAGTTTAGGATATTTTCCTAAGCAATAAACAGACAGTAACTTAGGCATAAAAACAATCCCGAGCGGCCTTTCTTAAACAAAACAATTTAGAGTTTTTATTTTTCAGTACTCTTCCCATCTGCTTTATTTATGGATGGAAAACAATTTTTTCCCTTAAAGTAGACAAGAATGTTCAAGGTCCAAGGTAATGTCTAGCCCCAACTACAGAAAAAGGTGGGTGTTTTGTTGTTTTTTTTTTTAATAAAGAATGCCCAGTATTTCACATTTCCCAACAGTCTATGATGTACTATAGTCTCTGGAATTCTGAGATCTTGGAGGCAAAAAATAGCCAGTCAGATCCATAGATTTTCTTATCATACCACAATGTTCTGTTTTAAAGAGTTGTCTGCTTCCAGAATATAAATACATTCAGCAGATGAATTGGAATTTCCCACCAATTTAAAAAAATATTGGTAATCTGATTGCTGAGGTTCAAATGGAAGGAACCGGAATTTATTAGACAAGTAAGTGCTGCAGAAGTTTCCAATCTCTGCACAGAATTGGGCTTGTGCTCTTCTTCCACCCTTCCTTCTTCACAAAACAGCATAACTATGGGAGAAGAGAACAACTCTGAACAACTGACAGAAGGTGATGTGGTTAACTTGCAATAAAAGCAGAAACAATGCTTAAGGTTGCTTAGAAGAATCAGACTTTTCTGTCTCTACTGTCAGGACAGTGTTTGGGCTTTTTTTTTTTTAAAAAAAAAAAAAAATGTATGGTCCATCACGGCTCTCTGTTGGAATACCTGGCAGCAGATAGGATAAATTTGTCCAACTATACCATGAAACAGGTGAACAAAATGAGTAATGAACATGAAAATTAATTCCCAAGTGACTAACAAAACCCAAAAGCAGCCACTTCGCACAGTGGATTTTTGTAATGACAAAAGCATCCAGTACAATTTAGGTAGGAAAAAATTCAAAGCAGGAAAAATTGTGCATCCATATTAAACTTTTAAGAACATACCTTGCTCACTTCTTTTAGAGCTTGCTTGCAGTTCTCGTATTTTGGTGAATCCTTTGGAGTTTTCTGACAAATCGTCTGAAATAAAGTGTCAGTTACTTCACAGGACTAAGAAGTACAGATCGTAACAAATACAGAATTTTACAGACATATTAATTGAAATCAGAGAGGTGAAGTTACAGCTGTAGACTGGGATAAATGAGAGAACACCAGATCGCTTCTTCAGAGTGTTCCGTGACACTAAGGATGACCTCCCTTGAAAGCTTTTTGGAGCAAAGAGATGTTTTGCCCCTCCTGGCCACCCTCCATCCATGGCGACATGGCGGAAGAGGCGCGCCACGTCCTTCCAGGAAAGGGGGAGTTTCTGCCATCCCGTCTCTAACTTTGTGCAAACCACATGAAATCCCATTGCAGCCGTACGTAACCAACCACGTTCGTCCTATTTCAAGTACCACCTTAAGCTGTTCCCAGAAGCTGAAATACCATTTTATGTACAACTTTACTTGTGCTAAGAAAACCGTACCAGATTATTCTGACTGACCTCTTTGTGAAAGGTTTAACAAAAGGATTAACAGAAAAGGCACTGTGATGTGTACCATGGAAAAAACATACATAACAGTATTATTTTATTAAAAGAAAAAAGCACATGGAAGGGAAGACAGCTGCAGCATCCAGGGGAAGTGCTGGAATGCAGTGAGAAGTAAATCCAAACTGTGACTTACACGTGACAGTTATATCTATTGACAAGAGTTTATTCTCATGAGTTAGAGGTAAAGACAAAGTCCTACCAGAAACGGGCATTTTGAATCAATGACTGACCAGTTAAATCAATTTTTTGATTGAGAAACAAAACCATCATAAGATATTTTACATTAATTTAGTCTTTCATATAATTAAGCTCCCTCCTCTCTGAAGGTAGTTGGAGCCGTATTTCTGGAACTGAAACCTTAAAAATTGAATTCACAACCACTTCCAAGAAAAACAAACTGAACTGAAACAGTGGAAAATAAAATGCTTGGTTTGCCTGTTTACATTATCTTAGCCAAAGAGGGGAAGGAGGCAAAGAAAAGAAAAAAAAAAGGGGGTGTGTGTGGGAGGCACACCTAGTGACACACTGAAGTAATACTGGAGTATTTTTCCATTTTTTAAATCTAGAAATGCACAGCAGAGAAGAAAGTGTTCGATATCCATGAATGAACTAAGTAACTATCCAGACAATCAATCAAATTAATCAACGCACAATTTGCAAATAGATAGGAACACAAAATTATGAGTTCTGCTTCTGGATCCCACTAACGCCAGAACCTGAACGTGGATTTTAATCTGCGCTATTGCTGGTGGTCCCGCTCATAAATTTAGTTCTAGAATCTTAACTGAAATACGATGAATCTTGGTGTGAACTTTGCTTCACCAGTACTCAGCTGCACTTCACCACCACTCCTGAGCCGCCCGGTAACCCGCACAGGAAGGGAACATCTCGCAGCGTAACGTGCTGGTGGGAAACCCGGGCTGTCAATACTGCTCCGCTCAAAGGGCTCCCGTGTCCTTGAGTTCCTTCTCCAGGGTCACGCTGTCACCCTCTTAACCGAGGGTCTCAATGACCCTGTTCCCAAAAGTACGGATTTACTGCAAAAGGCCCCTTATCTAATCTGTTTGATAGGAAGTCTTGTTTTTTGAACTGTAGGGTTTAATTTTAATCCTAACACTATATACAATTTCTGCGCTAGGTTCATCCTTGATTTCAAAATCACTTTGACTCTTTACTGTCCAATTTTTCTATTAGAATGTCTAAATATTTAATTTCTGAATGGGGGTTGGGAGCAGGGGTTACCCGTCACAGCAAGCAAACAAATTGCACAGTACTTCAAAATCAACAGACAGTATCCACAGCCCTGTACCTGGTATAAGTAAGAAGATATGAAGAGACTGGAACGAACTAGGAATTGAATATGAGAGAATGCTAACATTAAAAGAACATGCATCAATGAAAAATAGAAGAATAACTCTTCTTACATCCATCAGTAAGGGAAGACGAGTAACTCTCTGCATGGGAAGAATGAGGAAAGAGATCATTGGTAAATTCCGGCAGTCTTCATGGGACTCGATCCGTGATAACACGTCTTTGAACGCTGGATTTGTGGCTCTGGTGGGAAAAAGGGGGAGAGAATTAGATGGTATGTTTCACCAAAGAATTGTGAAAGTTGCTAGATTTTAAATAAATCATTACTTTAGTAATAGGAAAGTGTGGTTTGAAGGAGTCCTATCAGCTGAGCCCTCAGCTTTATTTGTTTAGATATGCAAAACCAGTATTGACACTTTAAAGCCTCCAGTTCTCCCACAGACGACCGTGAGTGCAAACAGACTCGTGTAACACACGAGGAAAGTGCGTCTTTGACACCGATTAAACTGTACTTATCAGTGGAAAGGGAATGTAACACATGACCACAAACAGGATTGCCTCTGCAGCCAGGCATGGTTTCACTCCCAATCACTTCAAAGGACCGTGTGCTAAGGAAAGCTAAGCGTGTAAGTACACGCTTAGTTGGAAGCCGTAGGTTTTGCACTGAATACCACAGCCTGCTGCTCACTCCTGCTACAAAGGGGCTGGTTTTGCAATCACATTTTACAATTAGTTCTTACAGTAATTTCTGCAGTGTTCGCTGCTGATAGACTTCATTGGTGCAGTACTTCACATACGGATCAAACGTTGAAGACGTATGCTTTTCAACTATATCACTAATATCATCAATGAAGATGTTGTTCTGATGTCTTGCTTCAAGTTCTTTAAAGAACCTGTGAAAAAAAAATTACTCATTTTTACAAAAAAAAATAGCTGACTTTCTCTTGCAACATTTTACACTTCACCTGACACAACCCGTGATTTTTATAAACTAGTGACAAGTGGAACGGTTTGTGAAAGGGCGAGATCACCTCTGCTTGGGCAGAGCAGGAAGGGAAATCTTGACACGCTACCAGCCCAGGGGTGGCGGTGTCAGCTGGCAGAGCTCAGCAGGAGCAGTGCTGGCAAAGCTCCGTCCCATTCGCTAGCTGCCAAAACCGAAACAGCATTACTGATCTGGTTAGACTAGAATTTCCAGAAACAGGGTTGAAAAAGAAATGAAACAACTTCAAGCACAACATTAACACATTTCCTCTTGTAATAAAGGAAGGACAATACCAGAAATGTTCAATGAAATAAAGTTATGTGTGAACTGCTAAACTAAGAACAAACAAAAATATATAGCAGGCTGAGCTGGACACGGTGCTCAGGTACCTCAATCAATTAAAACCAAACACAGATTGGAAACAGTTAAAATAGAAGCCAAAATCAAAATCCTGAGCCGATTTTTTCCCCTAATCACGCTTGTTGCAAGAACTTCCCTATTGTTTGTCCTCTGTTCTATATCTGAGTCCCTTTGGCCTCTGAAAGCTTTCCACTCCTCCTTGTGCTCATACTTTTACCAGAAAACAAAAGCCTTCATTTCCACAACGCTCGTTAGAAATCTTTTACTGTTTGGGGTGTAGGAGCTCACCCAGATGGGCATTAGATCTATTGCAGGTCCTTAGAACTGCCTACGCCGACGCTCCGGCATCACTCCGATCCTCCAAAATCTGGAAGCTGCTGAGAATCTCTCGCATACCAGACCTGCCTGCAGCCTCTGTAAAAGGCGACTCACAGGACAATCCTGACCTCCATAGAGTAAACCCGCTAATAAAATACTCTCCTATAGCACAGGAGAATTAAGGAAATACTTGGAACACACGATCTCACATCAAGCTAAAATATTTTGGAACACGTTTGATTTTATTTTGGCCCCTAATTACAGGTTCTTATGACTAACACTGGCTCTTCAGAACTCTGTCACCTTGCAGCATTTCATTTTTTAAGGGTGCCACCAGTGTTGACCATAGTTTGTTTTGCAAACAAACCTCAAACATTTAGGGGGAGAACAGGATGAACAGAAGCTTATCCTACAAGTGTTTAACAACATGGGTTAACTAAAATTAAGACATTTTTTCAGGTATGCTTAGGAGCAGCTGCCTGAATTGAGCAGTTGCCAGATTCTCACTCGGTCAATCACAGTCAGAAGAATCAAGTGGGGTTTTTTGTTTTGGTTTTTGATTTTTTGTTTGTTGGTTTGTTTGTTTTTTAAAGTTCAGACATATTAACTGCAGAGAGAACTGACTGATGTTTATCATTATTGCCATTTAATGAAAAACAGGACACTGCATACAAATATATACAACACTGTCTACTACAGCGCACAGTTTTCTTCTCCCTCTTCCCCTTTAAGAGGTGCAGCCGTATTTTTTAATAGCCTTGCCGCTTCTGGAAGGCAGAGTCCTCCGGCATCCTTCTATCCTCCACCCATCTTATTTCAACGCACAAAATATTTCAAGTTGTCACTGACTTGCATTATGCTACATATTTGGGGTTTTAGTACCAAGACCAGTGCTAACTGGCAAAGCATACTAAGGTGCAGCGGCGCCTCATACCGTTAAAAACACAGACAAATATGAAGTTAACAGTCGCCTGAAATTTCACTGGGGTCCAAGAAGGAAAGGGGGTGGGGGAGGCGAGAGTGTCTCCAAGTCAGTGTCTACAGTTTCTCATGAACAACACCAGTCAGATTTCAGCCGCTGACCACCAGCGACTGCAGACGGCTGGAACTCGTTTCCACTCGACTCAGACCTGTTTATAGTTGGGAGAACTTCCCAGCGCGCTGCCAATTTACTTTGCTCAGGAAATTAGGAAATACAGCATTTCTTCCTGCTGTCCGCTATGGCACGCTGACAGGGCGTTCGACTGTCCTGGGCTAAAACTCCCACTTTTACAATTTATCTGATGCTTCATCAATGACATCAGACACAATTATTGAAAAGAGTAAAAATCTTGGATAGTAGAAGATTTAAAAAAAAAAAAAGAAAAAAGAAAACAGAGCTGGGCAGAGAGAAGCAGCATACCCAGTGCCATCCCTCACAACACATACTGTAAGAATTATTACCTCTGGAAATCACGCAGCACAGTTTGAATCAAAGGTTGTCGTCTTTTGCATCCAATCTGCTGATCACTATATACGATCAATGAACCAGAGACATCACAAAAACCTTTTACTTAAAATTTTAGGACAGATTCTGTCATAACGATCGGTACTGAGTGATTACATTCAATATAACCAACTACAAATGAGTTGTGCTGTATAACTGCCTTTTGGTTTTGCTTTTTTTTTTTGCCTAATACCAGAAGGATTTATTTAAAGCATTTGTTTCTGTTAAATCCAGAACTTTTCTGGCTAAAGTGAGATCCAATTAAGTGAAAGTCAAACAGCGTGGTAAGACAGCGCTTGACTTCCCTCAGCTCGCCCTTATGCTGTTTAGAAGCAATGTCCAATTCGCAATACTCAAACTCCCCTCTCCTGAAGGCTCCGTGCCAAATCTAGAAATGCAGGTTTCATTCATTTCCTGTTTGTTTCTTTTTATGGCACAATACTCAGAAACACACAAGATCTCACCAGCGCTGGAGTTTGCCCTGCCTTTATGACAAGGGTTCCCTCCATAAAGTTGGTGGCTCCCGTTAAGGGTCTTCCTATGCCTTTAGGCAGCTCATTAACCAGTGGTAATTACCAACAGGAACAATGCCCAATACTTGCTCAGGCCATTTTCTGAAGCTGTTTTTCCCCACTCCTCGGCACTGCTTTAATCAGTGGCTGATACCCACAGCTTTCTCAAGAAGTCTAATGAACTCCGCTGCATAGACACAACCGCGCAGTGGTACACGCACAGTGTTACAAACTATTCCCAACGATTCACCTTTATAGGGCCGCGGCGATGTCTCTTTCACAGCTGCAGAGCTCCCATCAGCACTAACAGAAGTTCTGCTGTCACAGACGTCATGAAAAAATACACAAAATAAATGCCCTATGCTCAAACATTTTGGTCGACATTTCTTCTCAACATCTACTCTCCCTTCACCCCCAGATAAACATATTCACTGAGCAGGACTTACATTCTTAGGAATACTGTATCTTCACAGAATTCACAGAATGGTTAGGGTTGGAAGGGACCTCTGGAGATCATCTAGTCCAACCCTCCTGCCAGAGCAGGGTCACCTACAGCACGTTACACAGGACAGCGTCCAGGCGGGTTTTGAATGTCTCCAGAGTGGGAGACTCCACCACCTCTCTGGGCAGCCTGTGCCACTGCTCCACTACCCTCAAAGTAAAGAAGTTCCTTCTCATGTTAAGATGGAACTTCCTATGTTCAAGTTTATGCCCATTACCCCTCGTCCTATCACTGGGCGCCACTGAAAAAAGACTACTCCCATCCCCCTGGCATCCTCCCATTAAGTATTTGTATGTATTAATAAGATCCCCCCTCAATCTTCTTTTCTCTTGCTATCGGGGTAGTCCAAAATTAGATTGCACTGCATTAAAAAAACTCTAGTTAGGCCAGTAAAAGAGATTTTAACTAGGCAGGCCAAACTGGAGTTAGAAAAACAATTACCCTGTGGAGTCGGTTATTACCCAGGAGCAAAAAGCACGTAGAATCAAGTGACAGCAGATAAAAGGAGTATCAGAAAGGTGCTGCAAAAAATCTAAACAGATTGTTTACATCAAGGGTGACCACAGAAGAAATGTGATGCCAGAGCCTTTCTGGAGAGTGAGACTGGGAGAGAGCAGAGGTGGTGGGAGTCATTTTATTCTGTTTGCAAAATGACAGAACACACAAAATAGCATCACCGGGTTGGCGAGAGGGACAGACAGTGTGACATCACTACGGTCTCGTATGCGGGTTACCTAGCAGTCACTGAATCAAGGTTCTCAAACATCTGACTTTTTTTCTTACTGCTCACGATACAAATTTTTTACCTGCTTGCGGGTTCACGTAATTCTCCGTTGCTAACCGTTCTGGAGAGTGCTACTGTCCCTCTCCGTCAGCGGCCACTGAAAACAGTCTGTCACCACCAAAGCCATTCTGTACGTGCAGCTGAACTGCGGTCTGGCTTGTAGATCACTTACTTCGAGTTCATTATTATTATTCTTGCTTAATACATTTGAAGTTATAATGACCCAGATGTCTGGCATGAAGAAGATTATAAGATTATAATGCAGATTTAGCTTCATAGCGATGTTGCTGCTGACACATTACAATTCGCTAACAGAAAAAAGCCCCTGGAGTGGATCAAGTACAATTTCGCTTCCTCCACTTAGAGATAAGGGAACTGGAAGAACAATTACCAATTTCAGATAACTTCAGACAAAAGTAATAAAAATTTCTGAGCAGCTTCTCCAAATCTGAATATTCTCATCAGAAAGATAAGCTTAACATCTGTATCATGATAGTGTTTGAAATGAATCAGTTTGTCACGGGAGTTACTGCGATCTAAACGGAAAACAATACACACATACACATATATTTATAACACCAAACACTGCAAAGCGAATAGCCCATAAAAATACCTTTTATTAGGCAATATCCACTGAGCAATGATGAAGACAAACAAGAAAAAAAAAAAAAAAAGACCCTGACAACCTATTCCTTCGTTCGGCACCAAACTGGAACAACTGTCAGCAGGCCGACCCACAAGTAACCGCACTAATGGCGAGCCACTCTTCTTGCCAACTATTTATAGTCTTCTGGCAGAAATCCAGAACAATAAAAAGGCCATGGCAACCCTGTCAATACACTCTGTTACAGCCAGATTCTTGAGATAATGGGGAAGTGCTCACAGCATCTAGTTCAATGGTATGCATTTCAGAAAAACAAATCTTGATTCAACCAATTAATACTCA